CGAGCTTCGAGCTTTTAAATCCCCCTCTTGTTGCCATTTGACTGTTTAAATATCTTTATCTTCAATCACTGCTACAAAAATGATTTGTAGCCACGCTCTTTTTTTAAGGGTTGCTCTATATTGAGCCACTCCTATAAATGGTGTCCAAACGAGCCGTCTCTACAAATTTATTTATAGAGGTTATTGGTGTTATCAGTCGTCCCTACAAATAGCCCCAGCCGTCCCTACAAATCAGATTTGTAGGGGCGGCTCAATATAGCCATATCTACGAATAGACGCCGAAGAGTAAAAATTAAGCATTAAAATTCGAATTTTTTCAAACGACCTCGGATAGAGAAATGACGAAAATAAAAGTTGTAGATCTTAAAAAGTAAATAGAACTTTGTAGTTTATAACTTTTTGATTTGAAATCATTGTGCCGTTGGAAATTCAAAATTTTAAATTGTCGAAGAACTCTGATTTCTCTTTTTAATCTTTGGCTAAAACTTGTAACTAGTCTTTCTTCTTCGTACTAACTTCAAATTTGATAATTTTTTTCTAATTTTTTCTAAAATCATGCTCTATCAATGTGTTGTGTTCTTACAGCTATTATTTTGATCATCTTTTCATGTGACTTTGTTTTATCAATTAAAAATTTGAATTTCAAAAAATAACAAATTCAAACAATATTTTGAAGTAGTAAATGATTTCAGTTGAAAAAAGTCATGAACATAAAAGTTGTAGAACTCATCAAGATCTATAATTTTTATTTTGGTCATTTTTTCATCTGACAAAGTGATAATAACATTATTCATAAAATTTACATCTCTCTTAGGGTCCGATTGGATCCTTGGAATCAAATTCATTCTAATAATTACAATTTAGGTATAGATTAATTAAGCTAATATAGTTGTATATAAAATATATTTATATATTTATTGTTAGGCATATAAGGGACATACTTATATGCATTTATATTATAGGGGAGTGAGTTAAAAAGTGTGCTATAAGTTTAATAATATAATTATAGCATAATGATCTATATAATTCATTTCCATCTCTCACCTTATGAATTTGAGATAGGCTTATTTGTGAGCTTGAAAAAGTTATGGAATATCAAATTCCAAGCCAAATAATCTAATTCATTATGTAGATTTCAATTCCTCCAAAATAAAGGGATCTAAACGGCCCCTTATAGTCTATGAAATCATATGAGAGATATATAAAATTTGTGAACAATGTTACTATCATTTTATCGGATGAATAAATAACCAAAATAAAAGTTGTAGATCTTGATGACTTGTACAACTTTGTTGTTGATGACTTTTTCAACTAAAATCATTTACTCTTTCAAAATATTGTCTGAAGTAGTTATTTTTTAAAATTCAAATTTTGAATTGTTAAACAAAGTCACATGAAAAGATGACCAAAATGAAAGTTGTAGATCTCGAAAAGTTACAGAAGTTTGTAGTTTACAACTATTTGATTTGAGATCATCTTGTTAAGAAAAACTTTGTTTGAATTTCTCAAATTTGAAATTTGAATTTTGAAATAACCTCGGATGGAGAAACAACTTAAATAAAAGTTATAGATCCCAAAAAGTTATACAACTTTGTAGTTGACAACTTTATCATTTGAAATCATCTTGCTAACGAAAACTACATTTGAATTTTCAAAAAAATAAAATTTGAATTTTTCAAACGACCTCGGATGGACAAACAGAAAAAATGAAAGTTGTAGATCTCAAAAAGTTATGCAACTTTATAGTTGATAACTTTTTAATTCAAAATCATCTTGTCAGGAAAAACTACATTTGAAGTTCTCAATTTTGAAATTCAAATTTTGTAAACGACCTCGAATGTAGAAACTAATAAAATGAAAGTTGTAGATCTCGAAAAGTTATACAGCTTTGTAGTTGACAATATTTTCATTTAAATTCGTTTAGGGCCTCAAACAATCAATTTAAACTCGGTTTAGAATAATACGCGGGGAAAGAAAATCCAATATAAACACAAGTGAGTTTGTGTTAGAGGAGGGTATGCGCGATGGAGAGGTCGCGGATTTGAATCCCGCCGGTTGAATTTTCGCGCAAAAAATGCAACGACTTGCGGGTGGCTGACCGGTAGAGGCCTCCTCGGATTAAAAATATCTTTTTGGTATTTTTTGGCCCGATTTCATGATTTGTAAAAAATGAGCCACCTCTACAAATCAGCAGCCGTCCCTGCAAATCAGATTTGTATGAGCGGCTGGCCAACCGTCCTTACAAATCGGCCATTTGTAGCAATGGTTTGGTAGCTACAAATGGTCTTGAGCTGCCCTTAAAATCATGTCTGCAGTAGTGAATCTTGAGTCCTGGATCACGTTATTTGACTCTTGAAATACACTTTCAATCCTCAGTCATTGGTCGTATTTTCATCCATATTGCGGATATCTGGTTCTCATGCATTGTGACCTTACATTAAAGACTAGAGAGAATTCCTTATTTGGCACTACAAAGATCGACAATTCCTTCCTTGGCCCTTTAAACTTAGAAATCCCCTATCACACTGCTTATATGTTCAGTGCCCAAAACGATAATGCCGTTACTTTTGTTATCCTTCCATCAAAAGGTTGTATTGTACACTTGTCAGTTTTTTCCACCTTGGACCAAAGTGCCCTCATGCTGGCCGGTTCCAATCCCCCTTCCCGTTCTTTCTCGTTTTATTCTCTCTCGCTACGTGGGCGTGCATAGCGGTGGCGACGTGCCCATCCTCTGCGCGGGCTGGGCGATGGTGGCGGCATGCCTGTCCCCTACGCGGGTGGGATGAGCGGCGGCGCACCCTTCCCCCGCGCGAGCGGGCGGGGCGGCGGTGGCAGCGCGCCCATCCCCTGCTCGGGTGGGCCGAGCGACGACACGCCCCTCCCCTGCGCAGGCGGGCACAGCCAAGGCAACGCGACCCTCTCTGGCGCAGTCGGGTGCAGCCCAGGCACAAGCCACCGTGACGGGGAGGAGGCGATGGCAATTCCAACTTCCCTAGCACCCTTATCCCAGAAAGATTGTGCCATTCTCTTAGTTTTAGATGTTGTGTATGTGTGAACTTGTGTCCAACTTATGTATGTATGGAGAACCCATTTGTAGCGAACCTATGTATGTACTTGTTATAATTCTAAGCTCGTGTGAATTGTTGATTTTAATTGCTATCATAATGCTCCAATTTATATTTGTATTCGTTATGACTAGTCATAAATTGCATAGTGTTATTAATCACTGCCGCTAGTCATAAATTTCATAGTTGTTATTAATCACACGTTAGTAGAAAATTAACTAATTTTCACATAATCCACTTAACACATGTTAAATGAAGTGCAAGTGCAGTCAAAACCATCGCCTCTGGAGAAGACCGCGACAGTTGAAGGGAGCGGATGCGCGTGCTGGGCCAATGGAATAATAGGCGGGTCGTGAAGCGGGCGGAGACCCGAACAGGCCCAAATTGTACGCTTCAATAATGGGCCTCGGAAGCGGAAGGCCGGCCTGCTAAGAACAAGTATTGTAGCCGTAGCCCTTGCTCCGGTGGTGTCTCGCATTTTCCAGAGCCTGATTGGCTTCCAAAATTTGCCAAACTAAAGATTTGGCGAGTCATGATTTTGGCTATTATTTGGTTGGCTACCAAAACTAGCCACCCTCTCATATTTAGCTTACCAAATTCATGGTAATTTTTTTTATCTAGCTTTGACTTGCTAAATCTTTCGCATCGTAAATTTGGACCCAAACCAATCAGGCCCTCAATCTGCTCGCCCGCTCTCGGACTCGCCCTTCCTCGCCCCAACCGCGACCAATGGCCAGCTAACATATTCAATTTTCTGCTGTTGGATGCAGCTGGCCAGCTATCCGATGGGCAGGCTGACTCGAACTGTTCAGGAACAATGGAACAGCACTGGTGGCTGGCCGTACATCTACAACTATATTGATCTTTATTGATATATGTCTTTGCCACGGAATCTAACTAATTAGATTCTTTATTTTTTAAATTGTATTTTTCATGTACATAAATGAATAATATGATAAACCAAGGTAGTCCCAATTGTAAAATCTATTGGTCAACCTTTGCCACTGTTGATTTATCTTCATTCTTCTAATACCTGTTTGAGTTGTTGCGTTTTTAGCTATTGTTCCATAGCCTAAATTAAAGCAAGTAGAAAGCATCTGCTTTTAATTTTAGTTGCTGGTGGAAATTATGGGTTGCATAATCTTTTTTTCAATTAGCTTGATGCATTGTGGCAACTCTGAAGTGTGCGCTAGCTTCTGTAACTTTAAGAGTCTTCTTGGCTCGCTGCTTTGGCCTTTGCCTGTTGTCTATTCTATTCCAGTAGAAAAGTGTTCAGTTAAATTAAAACTGCATATTCATGTTATCTCTTCAATGTACAGTACTGAGTGAACCATGTATCTTTTTAATTTCAATGATTGTTCAAGGCTTAGCTTTGTATGCTAGGCTTAGTGCTGACACCTTGTTATGTATAAACAATGTATTTATGCAGTAGCTTTTTGTTCTTGCTTCCTGATTTTTAGATAACGATTCTTACTTCTACTACATGTTGGAATTGTTGGCATTTTTGCGTGTGTTGTTGTATAGCCTATAAAAACTGGATGAAAAGCTTCTGTAATGTTAAGAGTCTTCTTGGCTGATTTGGCCTTTGCCTATTGTCTATTCTATTTCAGTAGAAACGTGTTCAGTTAAATTAAAACTGCATATTCATGTTATCTCTTCAATGTACAGAACTGAGTGAACCATGTATCTATTAAATTCCAATGATTGCTCAAGACTTTGCTTTGTATTTAGTGCGACCCCTTGTTATGTATAAACAATCTATTTATGCAGTAGTTTTTTTCTTCTTGCTGCCTGTTTTTTGGATAACGGATTCTTACTTCTACTACCTGTTGGAATTGTTGGCATTTTTTTGTGCATTGTTGTATAGCCTAAATAAAAACTGGAAGAAAGCATTTTTGTCTTGAAAATTTATGATGTTTGGTGTGTTCCTTCAGAATGCAGATATTTGTGAAGAGCCCCGCTGGCAGGACAATCTGCCTCAGCGTCCACCCATCAGATACCTTGTATACTGTGAAGGCAAAGATTCAGCAACAATACGACCTTGTCTTTGACGGAGTGCAGCTAGAGGATAGCCTTACATTGGCAGATAATGGGATCCAGCATGAATCCACGCTTGGCCTCCAGGAAAAGATGCAAATCTTTGTAGTGGAGACCCTAGCAGGCAGGACCATCACTTTTGAGGTTGGCAGCTTAGAAACTATTGGCAACTTGAAGGCCAAGATTGAAGGTACCGAGGGCTTTCCCAGGGGTCAACAGTGCCTCATCTTTGTCTTCAAACAACTGGAGGACCACCGTACCTTGGCTGACCTGAAGATTTGTAAGGAGTCCACCCTTCTCCTTGTCCTCCACCTGCGTCCAAGAGGTACGATGCAGCTCTTTGTGAAGACGCTAGATGGAAGGACCCTAACGCTTGAGGTTGAGAGCTCAGATACCATTGACAATGTTAAGGTGAAGATCTATGAGGTGGAAGGCCATTGGCCCATACAGCAACGCCTCATCTATGCTGGCAAGCAGCTGGAGGGTAGCCGTACCCTGGCGGACTATGACATTCAGGATGGCTATGCTGTCCATTTGGTGCTCTGCCTTTGTGGTTGTTGAGATGGATGCCATGCATGGTCATTCGACAAGAACTATTGGTCTGCTGCAATCGTCTTTCTTCCCAGTAGTGGTGTGTTATCTGTGAAACTATGGCTTTAGGTGTGTTATCTGTGAAACTATGGCTTTAGGATATCTTAAGTCCTTGGGTCTCTCTTGGATCAGTAAAAATGTGAATGCAAGACATTAGTATTGCTGCACTATCAGTAAAACTATCACTGTGGTATGTTTGTAAAGTAATATGCTACTCTTCCTCTGTACGCGCCGCAGGGGTAGGCGTCGAAAGGGCGCCCCTGCAGCGGGCACTGTAGCCGCAGCAGGGGCAGGCGCCGAAAGGCTCTCTTACGCACTGTAGCCACAACAGGGGCAGACGGCAAAGTCGGCCCTGCTGTCACATCTAGTCACTGTGGGAACCTGACAGCCTGGCATATCTGTGTACTAGGATTAGATGGGTAGAGTTGTATATATAGCTTCCCACTGCAACTCAGTGAAGAGAGCGAGTTCAGTTTTGCCATCTCCTCTGCAGAATTCTAGCCAACGCTGGTGCTTGTGCTATGTGTGTGCGCGCTATGTTCTCCCTCCCTCTTCTACCTCCAGCCGTAGTGTGTGTATGAGAACGTCGATGAGCGGTCGGCTCACCCGTGTAGGAGATTTCGGAACAACAAGTGTTATCAAAGTCGTACAAGAGCCGTTGCCGGACTAACCGCTGGCGATGACGGACGGTTTGGAGATGGGCGACAGCAGCGGCGCTGCTGTGGCTGCCCAGCCACGACAGGAGGTCGTCGTGCGCACGGTGCGGGAGGTCAGCGGCACCAGTTGGCCGACACTGACTCGCACCAACTATGACGAGTGGGCGGTGACCATAAAGGTCAAGCTCAGAGTCCGACGACTCTGGAATGCCATTGACAAGGGCACCGACAACAAACAAGAAGACATGTTAGCGTTGGAGGCTATCATTGCTGCTGTGCCAGCGGAGTACAGGGAGCCGTTGGGGGCGAAGAACTCTGCTAAGTAGACGTGGGAGGCCATTACAGCGATGTGTGTCGGCTCCGACCGCGCAAAGAAGACGACAGCCTAGCTTCTAAAGCATGAGTACGCCAACCTCAAGTTCAAGGATGGTGACTCGGTGGAGGACGTCTCCCTCCGCCTGCAGTCGCTCATCAGCAAGCTGAGGAGCCACGGCATCACCATCGATGAAGAAGTGGCGGTCTCCAAGTACCTCCACTCCGTGCTGGTGAAGTACATCCAGATCGCTTTCTCCATATAGATGATGCTGGACTTGTCCACCCTCACCATTGGGGATGTGACAGGCCGTCTGTGGGTGGTGGACGAGCGTATGGAGCAGGCCACAGCAACGACGGACAACGGCAAGCTGCTGCTGACAGAGGAGGAGTAGGCTGCCCGGATGAAGGAGAAGAAGTCCGGGGAAGCCTCCTCCCGATGGCAATGGCAAGCGTCGCGGCAAGGCTTCTTCGGAGAAGAAGAAGAAGGTCGACCCCAACGCCTGCCGGCGCTGCGGGAAGACGGGCCATTGGGCAAAGGAGTGCCCAAATCGCAAGTAGGAGAAGAAGGCTGAGGCTCATTTAGCGTAGGCTGATGAGGCCACTCTCCTGATGGCGATGTTCTGTGCACTTCACGACGTTGAGGCCATGAAGAAGAGAGAGGTGATGGCGGTGGAAGGGCACGGCAAGGCTCTAAAGGCTATCAACCTCGACGAACCATGCGCCCAGGTCCACCTTGGACATGTGGGCGGCGAGCAGGAGCAGCGGTGGTACCTGGACTTCGGCGCCAGCAAGCACATGACGGGCTCCAAGGAAGCCTTCTCTGAGCTCGACGGCAACGTGACCGGTACGGTGAAGTTCGGTGATGGCTCAAGGGTGGCGATCCAAGGGTGCGGCACCATCATCTTCAGGTGCTAGAACGGCAAGCACCGTGTGCTGACGAATGTACATTACATCCCGCAGCTACATTCAAGCATCATCAGCATTGACCAGCTGGATGAGCGCGGCAGCGAGGTACTGATCAAGGACGGCGTCCTTAGGATCAGGGACCGGGAGTAGCGGCTTCTTGCCAAGGTGAAGAGGTCCCAAAATCGTCTATACCTGCTTGACTTGAAGGTGGAGCAGCCCATCTGCTTGGCTGCACGGCACACGAAGGAGACATGGTTGTGGCATGCCCAGTATGGCCATCTTAGCTTCGACGCGCTTGGTCGATAGGAGAAGATGGTGACTGGGCTGCCTCATATTGAGCACGTAGGCGAGCTATGTGACAGCTGCCTGGTCGGGAAGCAAAGAAGGCTGCCATTCCCGAAGATGGCGAAGTTGAAAGCTCTAGTTTAGTTTTGGTGAATTGATAAAACCCTAAGTGCTAACCTAGTTCATCTAAGTGATCATGAGATAGGTAGCATTATTCCAAGTGGTGAAGTAACGGTGAAGATCATGATGATGGTGATGCCATGGTGATGATCAAGTGCTTGGACTTGGAAAAGAAGAAAAAAAACAAAAAGCTCAAGGCAAAGGTGAAATTGATGAGCTTTTCGGTTTAGTGATCGAGACACTTAGCGAATGTGATCACATTTAGGATCGATAGCCATACTATTAAGAGGGGTGAAACTCATATCGAAATGCGGTTATCAAAGTGTCACTAGATACTCTAACTTATTGCATATGCATTTAGGATCTAGTGGAGTCCTAACACCCTTGAAAATATTTGTGAAAATATGCTAACACATGTGCACAAGGTGATACACTTGGTGGTTGGCACATTTGAGCAAGGGTGGAGAAGTTGGTAAAGTGAAGGAGGTGATAGTCACTGAAAAACAGTGACTGAATGCCGATCACGTGGTGACCGGACTTGGGTGAGCAGCGTCCGGTCATTTATAAAATCAGTGGTGTGCTCAGGCTACTCTCGGCCTGAGACCCGACGCAGGTGAATAGCTGAACACTGTTTAGCATCCGGTCCTGCTAACGTGGCGGCGCATAGAGAAGAGGAGGTGGGGACGCACCAGCACGTCAGGTCATGGTGGACCGGACGCGTCCGGTAAAAAAAACCCGGCTCTGGTGCCTTACTAGAAATGACCGGACTCCAGTGATGGAGCATCCGGTCACTTTGAGTAGTGCGTTCGGTCGCAATTTAACACGTGGCGTGAAGCAGACTAGCCGTTAAGATCGGGCGCTCAGTATTTGAGGCTGATGACATGTGGCGACCATCAGGCGACCGAACTCTGGGGTCCTACGTCCGGTCAACCTAACCGGCGTGTCCGGTCAGCCCATGTTTCACTGGACAGAGGAGCCAACGACTCTGTTAATGGGGGCTCTCTATTTAAGCCCCATGGCCGGCTCAAGCTCACTCTCTTGGCCATTTGCATTGACATAGCAACATTGTAAGCTTAGCCAAAGCCCTCCCACTCATCTCTATCATTGATTCATCATTTTTGTGAGATTGGGAGTGAATCCAAGCGCATTGCTTGAGTGTTTGCATCTAGAGGCACTTGGTATTCGTGTTTTACTGCGGGATTCACTTGTTACTCTTGGTGGTTGCTGCCACCTAGATGGCTTAGAGCAACGAGGATCGTCGAGCGGAGGTTGGTGATTGTCCTCGTCTCCGATCGTGGAGATTGTGAGGGGTTCTGGACCTTTTCCCGGTGGAGAGCCAAAATGTACTCTAACGGATTGCACGTGGCTTGTGTGATCCTCATCTTGTGTTGGTTGTGTGGCACCCTATTGAGGGTTTGGCGTGTGATGCCAATTAGCGCGTGAACCTCTAAGTGAGCGAATCGCCACAACGAGAACTAGCTTACCGGCAAGCAAGTGAACCTCGGTAAAAAATCATTGTCATCATTTGATTTTAAGGTGATTGGTCTTTATTGGTATTCATTCTTGTGATTGATTGGTTCATTCCTTGACTCAGCGGTATAACCATCTTGCTCTCTCTTTACATTACCGCAAATTAGTTGTCAAGCTCTTTAGTGTAGCTAGTCGTGAGAGCTTGTTAGTTTGGTTAGTGTGGCTCTTTAGTTAGCCTTTGAGAGCATACTAACTTAGTGTAGTGACATAGCCATTGTGTGAATAGAAACTATAGAAACTAGAATTATGGTAGGTGGCTTGCATTTTTAGTAGACTAGCGCAACACTCGCTTCGCCTTATATTTGTCTTACCAGTTTGCTAAGTGTGTTGTAGAAATTTTTAATAGGCTATTCACTTCCCCTCTAGCCATTAGGACCTTTCAGAAGTACCACGCGGCAGAGGCCCTCGAGCCAGTCCATGGTGACCTCTGCAGGCCGATCATGCAGGCGACGCACGGCGGACACAAGTACTTCATCTTGCTGGTGGATGACTATAGCCGGTTCATGTGGCTGTAGCTTCTGACCAGCAAGACCGAGGCAGCAGAAGTGGTCAAGAAGTTCAAGGCACGCGCAGAGGCAGAGAGCGACAAGAAGTTGCGCGTGCTGCGGACCGATCGTGGCGGCGAATTCACTTTAGTAGAGTTCGCTGCGTACTGCGCGGATCAGGGTGTGGTGCGACACCACACCGCGCCGTACTCACCACAGCAGAATGGCGTGGTGGAGCGGTGGAACCAGACGGTGGTCGGCATGGCTCGATCCATGATGAAGGCCAAAAGCATGCCGGCAAAGTTCTGGGGAGAGACGGTGACCACAGTGGTGTTCATCCTCAACCGCGCACCCACCAAGGCCCTAAAGGGAAAATGCCGTTCGAGGCTTGGCATGGACGCAAGCTGAATGTGTCATTCCTCAGGACATTTGGCTGCGTCGGCCATGTGAAGAACACCAAGCCTCACCTCGGCAAGCTAGAAGATAGGAGCACGCCTATGGTGCTCCGAGGCTACGAGGAGGGCACCAAGGCGTACCAGCTCTATGACCCACGTGGAGGCAAGGTGGTTGTCTCGCGCGACGTCATGTTCGATGAGAAGGTGGCCTAGGACTAGGACAGTCTGGGCATGGGGGAAGCTGGCGGCTTCACCAGCATCTTCGTCGTCAAGCACTTGGTCATCCACGGTGGGGGAGACGCTGGAGAGGAGGTGCCGACCACTCTAGCAACAGAGCCGAGCACTCCTGGGCGGTGCTGAGCACTCCGGGAGCGGTGTCAGGAGTGGTGTCGAGCGGTCCTGTAGTGGTGTCGACCACTCCAGGATGGGTGTCGAACGCTCCCATAGCGAAGCCGAGAGATCTTGCAGTGGTGCCGACCGCTCCAAGACTGGTGCCGAGCACTCCTACAGTGGTGCCAACCACTCCAGGAGTGGTGACGAGTGGTCTAGGAGTAGTGTCAAGCACTATAGCCGGGGTACCAAGCACTCCAGGTGCTGTGCCGACCACTCTGGCAGAACATGGGACTTTATCGACGCCGATCGAGTTCGCCTCACCTCTAAGCGACATCATTGAGTTCGTGGTTGTCTTCCACGACGGTGAGGAGGTGCGGTTCAACAGGCTGGACGACATCGTCGGTGGCATAGGGTCCTCAGACCTGGCGGGTCGGCTGCTCAATGACCTAGAGCTGCTTCTCGTCAGTGTAGAGGAACCACCCACGTTCGCGCTAGCCGAGCGCGATGCAAATTGGCGACGGGCGATACTGGAGGAGATGAAGGCGATCGAGGAAAATGAGACTTAGGAGCTCATCGATCCACCTCTAGGATGCCGTCCGATCAGCCTGAACTGGGTGTACAAGGTCAAGCAAGACGAGCACGGCGCCATTGTCAAGCACAAGGCGCACCTCGTCGCCCGAGGCTTTGTCTAGCGTGAGAGCATCGACTTCGAGGAAGTCTTTGCACCGGTGGCATGCTTGGAGTCTATCCGACTGCTGCTAGCTTTGGCAGCAGCAAAGGACTGGCGCATCCATCACCTGGACATAAAATCGACCTTCCTCAATGGCGAGCTGGCGGAGATGGTCTTCGTCAAGCAACCTCCGGGTTTCACGGTCAAGGGAGTGGAGCACGGGGTGCTCCGACTGCGCAAGGTGCTCTACGGGTTGTGACAGGCCCCGCGAGCGTGGAACGCCAAGCTTGACGCCACGCTGGGCGAGCTTGGGTTCACGCGGTGCGCAACCGAGCATGCGCTCTATATGCGGCGACGGGGGAAGGTGGAGCTACTCGTCAGCGTGTATGTGGATGACTTGATCATCATCGACGTGTGTGCGAAGGACATCAACAACTTCAAGCGCGAGATGGCGGCTTATTTTTGAATGAGCGATCTCGGCGCGCTCTCCTACTACCTCGGCATCGAGGTGAGATAGGGGAAGAAGGCGCTCACGCTCAGTCAGAGCGCGTACTCCTCAAAACTGTTGGAGCAGAGCGACATGGCTGAGTGCAAGCCGTGCGTGACTTCGATGGAGGTGCGGCTGAAGCTGACGAAGGCCAGTACCTCGGTGAAGGTAGATGCAACACTCTACTGGAGCATCATCGACGGTCTGCGCTACCTAGTCCACACGAGGCCGGATATTGCGTTCGCTATGGGCTACGCCAGCCGCTTCATGGAGGATCACTGGGCCACGGTGAAGCGGCTGCTGCGCTACGTCAAGGGGATGGTGGATCAGGTGATCGTCTTCCCCAAGACCGACGGAAGTGGGCTGCAGCTCACTGTGTTCAGCGATGCAGACATGGTGGGGGACATCGACGAACGGTGGAGCACTTCTAGCGTGCTCGTCTTCCTCGGGTCGGCTTCAATCTCATGGCTGTCACTGAAACAGAAGGTGGTGTCGCTGTCCACGTGCGAGCAGAGTACGTGGCGGCGGCCACAGCGGTGTGCCAAGGTGTGTGGCTACATCGGCTGCTGGGCGAGCTGACCGGTGTGGAAGCTCACCCACCAATACAGATGGTGGACAACCTGCCCGCCATCGCCCTCGTGAAGAATCCGGTTCTTCATGACCGAAGTAAGCACATCGATGTCAAGTTTCACTTTCTCAGGAACTGTGTCGATAGAGGGCAGATCGTCATCGAGTTCGTCGAAACTGGTCGACAAGAGGACTTTCTCACCAAGCTGCTCGACCGTCTTCGGTTCGCGGAGCTGAAGAAGATGATCAGTATGGTAGAGGTTCTAGGGTTAGCTGCAGGATTAGGGAAAGAATTATAAAGTAATCTGCTGCTCTTCCTCTGTACACGCGGTAGGGGCAGGCGCCGAAAGGGCTCTCCTGCTGCTGCACTGTAGCCGCGGCAGAGGCACGTGCCGAAAGGCTCACCTGCTGCACTGTAGCCACAGCAGGGGCAGGTGCCAAAGGTAACCCTGCTGTCACATCAAGTCACTGTAGCAGTCTGATAGCCTGGCATGTCCGTGTACTAGAATTAGATGGATAGAGTTATATATATAGCTTTCCACTGCAACTCAGTGAAAAAAAGCGAGTTCAGTTTTGTCATCTCCTCTGCAGAGTTTTGACCAACGCTGATATTTATACTATGTGTACACTGTCTTCCTATTCTACCTCTGGCTGTAGTGTGTACGAGAACGCCGGTCACTGGTCTGTCTTGCATATAGACTGCTCTCTTTCTCGAAAGGGTATAGCTTTTCCAGGCTCATCGTCAACGCCGCGGCCGAGCTGTACTAGGTCCCTGGCCTCCAGCACAACACCTGACGATCGTCCTAGTATATTGCCAGGTGTAGTGGAGTATAATGTAAAATACATCTCGCTGCATCTTTACTGTTACGAAATGAAGAGAATCAAGGCGACATTAGTACCTTATTTTCCTTTTGTGCTCCTGTAACGCACGATATGTGATTTGTATGGGTAATTTTATGTTGTGCCTTCTGTGAGTCCTCATATTGTGCTGTGCTTTTATGATCTCGTTCGCCTTGCTGAAACTTAGCTAAATTGGCTGAAAAACATTGTTTTGACTGAATTATTGTGAGAGAAAAATATTGTTCCAGTTAAAAAAACAAATTGAATAATGCGGATTATAAGGTAAGCCGAACGAGGCTTATGTATCAAATATCAATTTTGCACCATTAATCATCTACTTCAAGTATCATCTCATTTGGGAATTTGTCATTTAGATTTTGCTATTTCTTGATATCTAAATTTTATATGTGCTTAAATTTTGGTCCCTCATCTTGAAGGAATTATATATGTCCACATTTATAGAATTATTATATGGTCAAGTCGTTTGATTGTTTGGGTTCGACGAAACACTCCATAATAGTTTGGGCATATAATAAAATGTGGACATATATAATTCTATAAATGTGGACATATAATAATTCCCTTGGGCCGTCAGGTCGTTTGGACCAAAATTCAGATCGTTTGGGCATAAATGTAGGCCCTTGGGATTTTGTAGGATTCGAAGCCCATCTAAAGGGCCCGTTCATTTCGGCCCAAGGGCCGAACCGGACTCGCCGGGTCCTCCCTCTTCCCTGCTCCTGTCCAGGCCTCCAGGGTTTTAGGCTCGCGGCTCGCCGCCGTGCCTCCCGCACTCCCGCTCCCGCCCCTTCCACCCCCCGCGCGCCGTGATGCCTCCTTCCAAGGGCAAGAAGAAAAACCCGTCGGCGTCGCCGCGGCCGTCCCCACGCACGCCTCCATCTCGCTCCTCCGCCGCTGGCTCCGGAACGGGCGACGGCGAGAGAAGCGTCGACCTCCCATCCATCGCCGCCGCCGCCGCCGCAGCGCAGTTCCCGGCGCTCGTGCCACGCGGCGGCGATGGCTGCTTCGCTGGCACCGTCACCGAAGTGGCCCCCAGGGACGGGAGCCGCGGCGGCCGCTTGGGGAGGCTCTGGCTCTCCGAGGCCGCTATGGTCGGCGCCGGGATGCGGCCCGCGTGCCTCGTCTCCGTAAGCTCCTCCCTGCTCCTCTTTTGGTGCCTCGGCCTTGTTCCTTCGACTTAGGACTGCCTGTTTCTGCAAATTGTTAGTGTGGACCAGCTTCGTTTCAGCTAGAATCGTTGCTCACTCAAATTTGTACTATTTCTTTTGTGCGAGGGAGGTTGAATTCATCCATCGCACAAGGGCACTAATGATCAGTCCAGTCGTATGAGGTCCAATTTGACTGATTTTGAGTAATCGGTAGAGAGTCAAGGTGCCTTAAGCCCATCAGCGTATGCATGCAGAGTCGATGTTCTGAACCGAAATGTGCACATTTCATTTTTCTTTTCAATCAGGGGGGAGGGGAGCGCTGCCAACCTTAATATATTGCTCGGACCATATGAGGTGTACATAGTTCAGAGAGTAAGTTATTGGAAAGGAAGAAGATTACAACTTTGGTTTTCAACACCCCTATCTGTGACAGCGAATCAGTGCTTCCAGATATGAGCTGTTTCCTTGCAAGCAGAACTAAGACAGAGGCTGTCCATTGAACAAAACCTCATTTCTGTGCTTTAAATCATCCAGCAAAGCCAGCAAAGAAGCTGAACAAAAGCATCAGAGTACAACGTGGGTCCTCAGGCATAGGCAGCAGCCATAGTTCAACCATCTTGAACCGGCACTGCTTCAAATGCCAATGGTGAAGGGCAGCTCAAGATCAGGTCACAGTGGTCTTCTGAGCTGCTGCACAGAGAGGGCAGATGTCATCTTCAAGGATTTCTTTCTTCTTGAGATTGCACCTGCATTTGATTCTCTTTTGTAGTTATGTACCATCAGCCACCATAAGAATTGGACTTTAGGTTATGCTATTCTGATTGTGAAACCAACTTCAGAATTCCAGCAAAGCACAAACTTACTAGTTTACTTCCATGTATGTTTTCTTTTCAATAACTAAGCTGAGGTGTGTTTCATTGTTCGTAGGTCTCACTAATTTCGACAAGCAGTGATCAGTTAGATGCTTTCCCACTAGTTAATTTATTTGAGGAGTGCAGCAGATTCTTTGATCTTGATCTGGACAATGATCTCCTGCATGGTGAAGCTGGGAAAAACTTTGTGGTTGCTACAGTTCTCCCGTCGCGTGAGGTATGTCTTTTCTATTTTTTTTTTTCCCTCCTGATGTCTAAGTGGCAAGCATAACAAATTGTTGAAGTTTTTGACTGGGTTCTCTTACTAGGTTCCAAAGAATGGTATCAAGCTCTCTTGGGATCTTGCTTGTGTTTTGGGACACCCTTTGGTAGGTCGATCGTTGTTTATTAGCCCCTTGTGTACACTTCAGGCCCCAAGGAATAGTGATGATATTCATATTTTGCGGGTAATGAAATGTAAGAATCTTTATCTTAGCCTAGTTCCACCTAATATTGGATCTTCCAATGGCATTGAATCAGAGTCTGACTACCATCCTGAAAGAAGCACAATGGTTATGGAGACACCTAAGAGAGGCCCTTCAACTCCACTGCATAAGAGGGAATCTAATCACTTTCCTTCCAATAGTGGCTCTTCAATGTGCTTGGATCCAACCACTGCGAGATCAGCACTAGCAGATGAGAAAGTTAATGAGTTGTTGCATACTTCAGCAGTACGGTGGCTTAATGGTAGACACTTGCTTAAAGGAAACTTTGTTCCTCTCTCAATATGCGGAAAACTGTCTTTGTTTGTGGTCATGGGAGCAGAACCAGATAGTTCTTCTCAAGATGTTTCATGTGAGAAAGGGAATACACTGTCTAATGCAGAGGATTCAACTAAATCTGGTGAAACCCCAGTTTTCTTCCTTGTTGACGGAACCACAAAAGTTCATTTATCTGATTCTGTCAGCACAAAGCAGCTTGGCTCAGATAAGCCGGGTTTACCATCAGAACTTTATGAGTATGATGACAAAAGAAATGAAGATTTCAATCATGCTCCAACACTTGGTGGGTTATCTAAAGAGTCAGCAACCATAAAAGGAATAATTTCATTTTCACTAGCTGATCAAATTGGTCTGCCAAGGTATTCCATGAACAGATACACACGTCTCACTATATTCAGCCATAAAAATTAATGGTTTGAATTTTGCAATATGTTGATTGTTTCAGATACAAAGGTATTCTTCTTTATGGTCCACCTGGAACAGGGAAAACCTCTCTTGCTTCTTCCTGTGCCTATGATGCAGGGGTCAACCTTTTTACAATCAATGGACCAGAGATCATTAGTCATTATTACGGAGAAAGCGAGCAATCTCTGTATGATGTTTTCAGTTCAGCCAAGCAAGCGGCACCTGCTGTGGTTAGAATTTCTTTGAATAATTGACTGCAATTACCTTTACCGTTATGTCAACTGCACAAAAAGAATCCTGGGTTCATAGTAGAGTTACCTCTTAAAGTGCTAATACCATAACTCATAACATCGAAACTCCCCTTTTATTAGGACAAAAAAATCTTTATTTACTGACTTGGTTTTGTAATGGTATCTACTCCGGGTATTCAACATGAAGTGTGTTCACTAGCAACTTATTTTTGGAGGGTAACACTATGATATTGAGCCCAAGCTGCTCTAATATTTTGATGGGCTGTGCAACTCTGAAGCCTTAAAAACTATCTTCTATTCAAATTCATGAAATTGGACTTGTTACTCTTTTCACTATTTTTTCACGTCCAGCAGGCAAACAACTTTGCTTGAATATATATCTCCTTTGTCCTTTTCCACTGTTCTCAATGCAAAATGCTCCCAATGATTGAGGGATGCTGAATTCTTCACTGTATGTTCTATGATGCATACAAGCAACAGATTCAGTTGAAGCCTGTTTCTAATGCTATGCTCATTAAGCATCAATAGTTGAGCACTGAAGTGTCTTACCAAAGCAGCTAACTTGCCTATATTTATATTGCATTGCTCCTATTTATGAGCATCTCCTTTCTCCTCATAGTTGAAACTCTGATTTTTATTAAAAAAAACTTTTTTCCCAGTTATGGTTCAGGTTTCTGACTTTCTGTTACCAAGTTGTCTGATTCATCCTCTCTGAAACATTGATTATGGGTCAGGTCAAATATTGAAATGTTTGTGCACTGATTATCGAAGGTGACAGTTTGAACTATTTTGTTAGCAAGGAGCAATGTTTTATATTTGAAGTATAGGTATCCTAATTAGAATCCTTATCCCATCTTGTTAGCATTCATAACAGTATCATGTATCTTTGTTGCTATTAGATATTTATTGATGAATTGGATGCAATTGCTCCATCAAGGAAGGATGGGAGTGAGCAGTTATCTATTAGAATGGTAGCCACTCTGTTAAAACTGATGGATGAGATTGGCCCTAGTGATCGTGTTCTCTTGATTGCTGCTACAAATCGGCCTGATAGTATTGACCCCGCATTGCGACGTCCTGGAAGATTGGATAAAGAAATTGAAATAGGTAGAATGCTCTGATGCTATCCATATATTTTCAGTGCGAATAGCTGTGGGTTGTCTACTCCACATACACATCATGCTTTTTAAATTAATGCCTGCAACTAAAATGAAGCGCTTATGAATGTGTAGAATGTATTAGCAACCTGGCCTTTTTTATTTTATGAAGTAGCATAATGCATTCAGGACTGGGCAGTATTTTAAACTTATAAGCAATGGATTGCTTGTACTGTAAGCTTTGTCATCTGTAGTAAGTGATTATTTGTGTGTTTTTAGTAGCCATTTAAGGATTTATTTGGACACTAAGGATGGCCATGCACTTATAGATGGCACCAAATTTAATGACTTCAATTCAACATCATTGTCCAGTGATATGTTGTTGAGTTTAAAACCAAGTTAATCATGTTTTGTTGTCTTCAAACTGGGTTGCAGGAGTGCCATCCCCGGGACAGAGGATTGACATACTTCGCCGCCTTCTAATTGGAGTTCATCACTCTCTCAGCAATGAAGAACTTGAGTCTGTTGCTCTAGCGACCCATGGATTTGTGGGTGCTGATCTAGCAGCACTATGCAATGAGGCTGCATTGAGTGCTCTGCGGCGTTACATCAGCCTAAAGGAAAATTCAACTCAACCACTTGGTCATCCTGGCTGTAGTTTTGAGAAGTGTAAGAGTCAGGATACTGAAGATCCAAGCTCATTATCGTCATCTTTCTTACAGTTGACCATATCATCAGATGATGTTGCCTGCATGAAGGGTGGTAACATAAAAAGTAGTGAGTCTTATGATGATACATATGAAATACCACTATTAGTAACCATTAAGGATTTTGACAAGGCTAAAACAAAAGTTAGACCAAGTGCAATGCGCGAGGTATCACTTCTATCCACCTGCAAGGCTTTAGCCATAGGTCTCTTGTATGACAGTTGCTATCTATATATCTGATCTGTGTGAAAAAAAATGCCAATTGCTGAATCATGTTGTATACAGGTTCTTCTTGAGCTTCCGAAGGTACGTTGGGAAGATGTTGGTGGTCAGTTCAGTGTCAAGGAGCAGCTAATTGAAGCTATCCAATTACCACAAAAATGCCCAGAAGCATTTGAACGTTTAGGGATCCGACCCCCTAGAGGATTACTAATGATAGGACCGCCAGGTTGCAGCAAGACTTTGATGGCTCGTGCTGCAGCTTCTGAAGCAAAATTGAACTTCCTTGCTGTTAAGGGTCCTGAACTTTTCAGCAAATGGGTCGGTGACTCAGAAAAGGCAGTGAGATCGCTATTTGCAAAGGCAAGGACTAATGCACCGGCAATATTATTTTTTGATGAAATAGATGGGCTTGCAGTAACTCGTGGGCAAGAAAATGATGGCACGTCTGTTGCTGATAGGGTCCTCAGTCAGTTGCTTGTGGAAATGGATGGTGAGTTTTAACACTTCATTAGGAAATTCCTCGTTCAAATCTCCATATTTGTTCATAAACTCACCAATAATTGCCCTAGGAGTTATTATAGTCTGTTTATTTTTTTTCACTAGACGTTAAAATGTTTTAAAGCATGTGATTAGAGGTTCCCAAATAACAATAATGTTTTTTGTGGACTGTACATAAACCAAGCACCAATTATCTGATTATGATGTTTCCAGTCAATGTTATTTGGTTGGAGTATTAGCCATTTGCTTGTGCTTACGCATGGTTGGAATGTGTTGTAACCTTTTTATCTTATTTTGTTTTTTACAAGCTCCTATTGGTCTCTACTGAAAGTGTAGAGATATGCGCGAATAATAGATTGATTATACTGGTGTCAGGGTACAATCATATACACACACAAGAGGGGTGCCCAATGTTGGGCTGCACCTGGCCCATAGGCCTACAGGAGAAAACAGTCAGGACGCTAGGCCCATAAGCTAATATATCTGTCTAAAATCTACCCTTTTATGATGCATAATTTACTATCGTGTTTTATTCTAATCAGCGTATTTCTTCACTACACTCTAAAGTGTGTTAAGCATGTGATTAGAGGTTGGCAAATAACAATAATGTATTTTGTTGCCTGCACATAAACCAAGCATCAAACATCTGATTATGATATTTCCAGTCAATGTTGTTCAGTTCTAGCCATATGCAATTGCAATGTGCTGATGAACTTCTATCACTTATTTTGTTATTTACATGCTACTATTGGTCTGTAAACTTTTATGGTGCATAATTTACTATCATGGCAACAGGTTTGGACCAGAGAGTTGGCGTTACTGTTATTGCAGCTACAAATCGTCCTGATAAAATTGATCCTGCACTTCTGAGGCCAGGTTATTGGTTCAGTTGTTATTTAGTCTATGTACATGGATCAGCGCTTAAATTTATTTCTTGGATTACACATATAATGCTCGTAACACTCATTTGATCTAATTTTGAGATCAATATATGCACTAGGTCGCTTTGATAGGGTGCTGGATGTGCAACCACCAAACGAAGCTGACCGTGCAGATATTTTCTGGATTCACACACGCAGCATGCCATGCAGTGCTGACATGAATCTAAACGAACTTGCTAGACTCACAGAAGGCTACACTGGCGCCGACATAAAGCTCATCTGCAGGGAAGCTGCTGTTGCCGCACTTGATGTATGCTAGTCATTCTTCCCCGTGTAGTTGCATGAGCATATGCATTTTTCACTAGGTGATGCTAGAAGTTAAGTGACAGAATACTCTTTCTTTCAACAGGAGAGGTTTGACATCCGAGAAGTAGCAATGAGACATTTCAAGTCTGCGGTCAGCAGAACAAAACCATCAGATGTCAAGTTTTTCCAAGAACTTGCAAAGCAATTTCGCCGATCGTTGACTTCACTGAGGAAGCAGTAATTCTGAGAAAGGTAGATGGGTGTGTGTTTGAGGAATGGGTCAAGCATCACCTTCTTACTCCTTACATTTTTGCTTGGTCTAGAGAATGGAGTGGGTCAATCCATACAAGCACATGTCTAGCTTAATCATGAGGAATGAGTTCATCCCAAACAATTCATGGGTGACCTCGTATGAGAGGAAGGAGTTGTATGGGGAACCTCTTTTTTTCTCTCTAATACAATGAAATACAACTCTCTTACATTTTTTTTAAAAGAAGGCCACCTCTAAACAACATTAATTTACCAATTAATTTGAAAATGAACTCTATTTTTTGGCATCCTTGTCCAAGACATAAGGCCCAGTGTCACATGTGAATTCTTTTTTTGCTACCGTGGCGAAGCATTGGATAGGAAAGAGAAGAAAGTTGTATGATGTAGTAGATATAACCTTGGTAAGATATCGATCTTATCTATTCTCGACTCGAACACAAAATCTATTCATCTAGATCACTAGATGTTTAATTATTTGGAAAGTTCCTACTTAATGATAATATATATGGTTGCCCCTACACACCAATGTAATGACATTTCTATGATATGATAATCTTGGATAAAATATGCACCGGGAATATGACAAATGAGTTCTATTAGTTTCTCACTACGAAGCGTACAAACTCGTTCAATATGATAAAACAGAAACCGTGGTTGCCCAACGTTTGATAATATATATTTGGGTGTTTTCAACGATAAAAAAATGTTATTTATAGATGAATAACTTTGGGTTGCACTTGCAGTTATAGAAGTGTTGTATAGTGTGTAAGTCTGTGTATGAAGAAGATGGCTATCTGAACATCCAATCTGTATAAGGTCGGTAGTTAAATATATATAGTATAGAGCGATATTTCTTTGTTTTTTTATTATAAGTCGTTTTGGTTTTATATTATTTTTTATTATATATCTATACATTGTACGCATTTATGTTTATAGGTATGCATCTATGGTGTCAGATCTGCTCCCACCTTCAACAATATGCAATACTTGGCAAAAATCTCCACCAAATGACACAGTCTTCCCACATCAAAGATCTTGTAAAAATTGGAAGAATCCACTTTACCGAGAATGTACTATTAAATCATCTAGAAATTGACCTTTTCATTTCACAAACCGATGACTCATCAACAATTCTCAGAATTTTAAATTGAGAATGTGCAGTACACCCTCCAGGGAGGAAGACTGTAGCAACCCTTGAAGAGGCTACTGGGCTACAGCAAGAAGAATAAGTTTTTCAGAAAGTAGGCGTAAAATTAAAAAAAAAACATTGGCCAATTCTTTGGTAAACTGATTGCATGACAACGTCATATATATGTTTTTGCTCAAAAACTAATCGGTTCACAAGTCTAATATGGATATGAAGGAGATTGACAGGATCATAAACCAATTCCTCAGCTAGCAGCCTATTTTTCACCTTATTACAAAGATTGAGATCAGGCTTCGGTACACCACAGTCAGTCATTGACGCGCCATTCTTACTGAATAAATTGTCTAGCTCTATTAAGACATGGTTTTCAAGATGGTGTTCTGGAACCATATAGGACGGTAACTGTAGCATCCCCCGGATTTTATGGTGTATATCTTCAGTGAAATAAGTATAGAACTCAGAGAACAAGGAGGCTGCATCACAAACAGAGCCAAAAAGATACAGTAACAAGAAGCTGACACATCTGAGCAGCTGATCCCCAGATAGATGTTTCTCTAAGAGCCTCACGCCACTCATTGTCGTCTCCAAGGCCAAGTGCCAGAGAAGCATCTTAAATGTTGGGTACATAACACCAGCAACAGTTCGAAGATCCTCATAGGATGTAGACTTGGCAACATTCAGGAGCATATGAATGTAGTAAAGCTCACCACAACCAGGACATATCCATGATGTCCTTGGCACTTGGCAGTGGTGCCTGGAATGATCTCTGAGAAGGTGACAACACTGTCCCTCAGCCCATCCACAATGGCCTGACACTGCCTTGCAATATCCACACCAAAGGAAGTGAGTCTATCTCAACTGGTTGGGTGGGAGGTTTGGTCATGCACCCAAGACCCAACCACCTAAGTTCATGTCCTCAGCTTGAATTTGGGTGCATGTTCTCTTAATGAAATACCGTCTGGTTCCTCTTAGATTGGATCTCTTTTTGCAATATCCACACCAGCCAGGTACTTGGGTTCCGCCGCTCCTTCGGCTTTCTTGATCTAGAGTATCTTCTCAGCCTCAACTTTCTCACTGGCTGACACCCTCATTCTAGCAGCTGTGCCACACAACCAGAAGGGTAGCATGAAAGATTAATCGATATAACTGGTAGATGCTTGTGGCTGAGCAAATGTTGTATTGGCAATTTAATCTGATGCAATACTTATATGAAAGATAAAGTACTCCCCTGCAATGATCTTGTTCATTGGCACGGTCATCAACTCATCATGCTCAATATCAACAATCAGCATTTTGCACGATCTCATAGCCATACATAGACATAGGCGTCACATAGCCTACACCACAAACAAGCCAGATCAGTCAAAAGATTCTACATGCTCTAAAGCAAATTCAACACAACAATTAAACAAAAGCAAATGCTTGACAGAAACCTTTCCAAGCTCCTCTTCGACAGCTTTTGTGATGTCATTCTTCTGCTCAAATGCACCATCCCAGTCCAGCTTTGGAACAGTAGCTCTGATTACTGGAATAAGCAATGAAGAGCAATGAGAACTTGTTCATTTGATTTGTGCAGTATAGAAACATAATTTTCTCTCCTGGCACCGATAAAAAACTAAATAATAATGCTAACGAGCATATCACAAGAAGGTAAACATTATCTCGGTATATTAGCAAGAATAAAAAAACAGTCAATTGGCATGGGGTATGCAAGGACTTGAGGATACCAAATACAGAATAATGGAGACAGGACAAGCGCGAGTACAAGATAGCATACATGACATAATAAACACATAAAATACAATTTGAAACAGAGGGAACACTTACCATCAAATACATGCGACTGAATTTGTTCCCTGGTGGTGTTCATTTTGCAGAAGGCGTCAGGTGCCTTATCAACAAGAGCATATTAGACAGATGCAAACAACAGTGAACAAGACATTGTCAATCCAGGCAACAGAGTTCAAAAAGGTTCTTTCTTATACTGGAGATTCACAGAAGTGTTGTTTGATCATGCCAATAGCTTCAGAAAACCGAAAACCTGACTGAAGGTGCCACAATTTTCTTTGATGGACACAGTTGGCTGATCAACCTGCACTAAACCGAAAACCTGACCCATGTCTTATCTGCACACAATAAGATTAAGATGCCTGTCATGTATGCTGCCCGCAGTCCAATAATGCATAAAGGACAACAGGACAAGACTGCAAAGGCAATGCCATTAATTTGTAATCTGAGCACATCCTGACTCCAAGTGGCAAGAGCAAAAACTTATAGATTGCTCAGATACGTAAGCAATTATGGTACATATATATTGTACTTAGATTGGTTTCGGTAATCAAGTATTTGTTGAGTCTAACATTGTACATAAGATTGGTTTGGATGCCCACATATTTATTGGAGTCTACGAAGATGTCGAAACCTAGTCTTGGGATATCAAAATATTAGTGTAGGATATTATGATGAGGACATTTAATTGTGAGATAATACATATACATGTAGCATATTGATTGGTCATGCTTGTATATGAACACTTAAGCACTTAAAAGTTATACAGATACAAGCAGTCCTCCTCTTGCTCCTAAGGGGAAAAAAAGAAAGATGCAAAATAGTGGTGATATTTTCTTGTTCATGGGAGCCATCAAGAGCAACACGATGAGGATTGTGTGCTTAACAGCTGCTGTGTTCTTGGTTCTTACAACCATGTCTTCGACCTTACCATCTTTACTTTTATATTACTTATTGTTGCTTTTTAGACAAGTTAACCAAACCAAATCCCATTTGTATGTGCAGGTGGCAGCCGCATTTGCCCATCGCTGGTGCCTCTGCTTTGAGATTGAGCCCTACAAAATTGACATCTGTTTAGAGGGAAAGTGTTACCTTGTTTACATCCACCTATTTTATTCAAAGTCAATGAAATCTGCTTTTCTGGTTCTGTGTGCCTCCAGTGTGCTGTTGTTCCTGCTCCATCAAGACAGATGATGCAGCTCCTGACCATTAATCAAACACCACACTGAGTACTCTTATGGTTAAGTACACTCTCCTTATAACAAGTTTTGGCCATAGTTGTCATGTCAACATCATAACAATAACTTTTTTTGTGGTGATTGGCATGGTTACAAACTACTCATTTCTACTTCCTTTTAATCCAAATATAAACCATTCAGGGTGACAACACAATTTCCCATGCGAGGTACTTTGACTTGTAATTCTTTTAAATATAGACCACTTTAAATAGTGAAAAATGTTTATTACGAAAGTTGTCACGCACAACTAATCTAGTAACCTCAAACATATGTGTTGTGAATCAATGTAACTTTTCATATGTTGATATGCAAGTTAAACTGCTTTTAGCAGATAGAATTATAGAACAACCTGCCTATTACTATTCGTAACTCATTCACTTGAGGACATACAGGCAAACACCTTTGCCGATTGGGCTAATATCCTTGGTAACAACATAGTTTGATGGAAAGTATGAGTATTTCATCGGTCCTCAGAACACAGTTTTTTACACTAACGTTTTATGGAGAGTTCCTTCTATGTAGAAATTTTGGCCACAGCCTAGCCAAGCCTCAATGAAGTAATTCGATGTAAATGACAGAAGAAGTGAGAGTAACGAATTCAACTAAATACGAAATAGGCAAGCTTCATAGAAGTATCAGTGACTAGTGTGAACAAATCCCTAGTAGCAAGCTAAGAATGACAAATTCCTAGTAGCTTAAGTAGTATAATAAGGACCTATCTGCAGAAGAACAACTAACTTGACAAAAGAATAGCTCAAACAGTAAGGACCCAGAATAGCTCAAACCAGTTTCTCATAT